TATATATATGTATATATATATATATATATGTATTATATATATTATATTTATTATACATATTGTATATTATATATAATATATATTTATGTAATTATTTATATTTATTTATTTATATTTAAATAAATAAATATAAATATAATAAAAAGAAGAAAAAAAGTCATAGAGTGGAGGAGATAGGGTACAGTTAGGGGGGCCCCACCTGCCTATACACCGCAGATAATTCATTAATAATTTAAATAAAATAGTTATTATACCCTATAAATAAATAATAAATAAAATATATAAATAAATATAATAATAAATAATATAAATAAATATATTTATTCAATGTTTATTAGGAAGAAAAAGATAAGGTCCTTATTTATAGGTGTATAGACACCTCGATTCAGCAGCAGCAGCAGCAGCAGCAGCAATAGCAGCAGCAGCAGCAAGGGGGCCCCCTTTGCATGCATAGGGCTTGCTTGTTAATTAATAATATTATTAATAATATTTATTATTTTTTTATTTATTTTTATATGTATTGTTTCCATGGATAAAGTAGATAGTTCCCCTGCTGCTGCTGCAACAGCAGCAACAGCAGCAGCAGCAGCAGCAGCAACAGCAGCAGCAGCAGCTGCTGCTGCCAGCTGCAGAATTGGCATGCAGAGAAGCCTGCAGAGCATCTTGCTGTTATCCTTGAGTTGCGTCTTGCTGAGTCTGCTGCTGCTGCTGCAGCGCAGCACGAGACTCACAAGGCAGGTGCAGCAGCAGCAGCAACAGCAGCAGCAGCAGCAGCAGCACCAGAAACAGCAGCAGCAGCAGCAGCAGCAGCAGCAATTGAGCTACAAGACCTTCCCTTTAATACATTAGGCAAATTAATTTCTTCTTTTTGTCTTCTTGCTAATCATAATAAAGAAGGAAAAGTAAATAAATAAATAAATAAATAAATAAATAAATAAATAAATAAATAAATAAATAAATAAATAAATAAAATATGCATGCAAAGACGCATGCATGCTTCTCTTTTGTTGCTGCTGTGTTTGTTCCATGCATTTGTTTTGCTGCTGCTCCCTTGGTCTGCTGCTGCTGCTGCTGCTGCTGCTGCTGCTGCTGCTGTTGCTGCTGTTGCTGCTGCTGTATTTGCTACTGCTGTGTGTCTGTGTGTGCATGCATGCTGCAGGTTGCTGCTAATAGGTTAGCTGTTCGTTTGCTGCCTCTGCTGCTGCAGTTGCTGACAGCAGAATCCTATAGATCTGTTGCTGCTGCAGCGCAGCAGCAGCTGCTGCATGCGCTGCTGCTGCATGTACACCCCACAGCAGCAACAGCATTTATATTTGCTGCTGTACATAAACTCTTAGCACCTCTATTAAACCCTACAGACACCACCACCACCACCACCGTCACCAGCAGCAGCAGCAGCAGCAGCAGCAGCAGCATAAGCGTAGAAGTATATAAGATGCTGCAGCAGGGGCCCCCTCCTCCTCGTGCTGCTGCTGCTCTTGAGTTATGTCTTCGTTATAATGAGTTCTTCCTCTCGGGTGTATTGGCACCTTCTTCTTCTCCTCAAGAAGCAGAGAAGCTGCTGCTGCAGCTGCTGCAGCAGCAAGAGCAGCAGCAGCAGCAACAGCAGCAGCAGCAGCAGCAGCAGCAGCAGCAGGGTTGGGGTATAGAAGATATTAGATGGCGTTGGTTGTTTTGGGCCCTTGCATGCCCATCAATAAGTTCTGTGCGCAGCAACGCTAGACAGCTGCTGCAGCTGCTGCAGGACCAGCAGCTGCAGCAGCAGCAGCAGCAGCAGCAGCAGCAGCAGCAGCAGCAGCGGGGGGCATGGAATTGCTTCAAGACAGTATTAGAATCCTTAGAGGAATTTTCTCCTCATCTATTAGAGCAGCAGCAGCAAACAATAAGAGGTCTATGTGTTGCTGCTGCTAAGACAGCAGCAGCAGCAGCAGCAGCAGCAACAGGAACAGCAGCAGCAGCAGCAGCAGCAACAGCAGCAAATCCTCTACAGGTACAGCCTCTATGGATAGAGTTGCTGCTGCTGCGTGGATTTACTCATGATAACTCTATGCTGCGTCGTAATTTGCTGCTATGCATCCTAGACATTTGCTGCAGCAGCAGCAGCAGCAGCAGCAGCAGCAAGAGGAGCAGCAGCAGCAGCAGCAATATATTATATAGTATAACAAGTATATTTATATATAATAGTTTATTTAGTCTTCTTTCTTCTTCTTCTTTCTTCTCTCGTGGTGCTGACTGCAGAGCAGCAGAAGCAGCAGTTAAGAGATTCTTGCTGCTTAGGCTTATATTGGAGACGCAGCTGCAGCAGCAGCAGCAGCAGCAGCAGCAGCAGCAGCAGCAGCAGCAGCAGCAGATGGAGATCGTACGTCTTGGCTGTGTTGCAGTGTATATGCAAGCTGTAGGCCGCTGCTGCTGCGCATACACCCCAATGCGTGTCTTCTTAGAGGCTCTGCTGCTGCCTGAGCAGCAGACACTATGGCAGCAGCAGCAGCAGCAGCAACAGGAGGAGGAGCAGCAGCAGCAGCAGGGAGGGGAGGAGTTGCAGCAGCAGTGGCAGCAGCAGCAGCAGCAGCTGCTGTGCGCTGTGCGTCTGCTGCTGCAGTCTATTGCTGCGCAGCCCCATAGTGTTAGGGGAGGCCTATATGAGTTGCTGCTGCAGTGTTTAGCTATGCATGCAGCGCATGCAGCAGCAGGAGCAGCAGGACCAGCAGGAGCAGCAGCAGCAGCAGCAACGCATGCAAAGTGTGTATCTTTCTTTGGTTTTATCTTTGCTGCTTTGCCACAAACTTTCTTCTTAAGACAACTGCAGCAAGCAGCAGACTACTGCAGCAGCAGCAGCAGCAGCAGCAGCAGCAGCAAGGATCCCCCCGCGTTGCTGCAGTTGCTGCTTGCTGCCTTTAACTCTGTTGAAGCCTTCTCTGCTGCAGTGCAGCAGCAGCTGCAGCAGCGGCTGCAGCAGCAATCCAGTGCTGCTATGCAGTCATACGATTCGCAGCAGGAGCAGCAGCAGCAGCAGCAGCAGCAGCAGCAGCAGAGCTATGAAGCCTTTATGCTTTGCCGTCTTGTTGCTGCTGCTGCTGCTGTTGGGCCAGACAAAGAACTCTTTCGGGTGAGCTGCTGCTGTTGCTGCTGCAGCTGCTGCTATTGCTGCTGCAGCTGCTGCTGTTGTTGCTGCTGCTGCTGCTGTTGTTGCTGCTGCTGCTTTTGCTGCTGTTGCTGCCGCTGTTGTTGCTGTTGGTGTTGTTGTTGCTGCTGCCAGTGTTTTCTGTGTCTGTATTTGCTGCTGCTGCTGCTGCAGCCATGCATGCATGGATTTGCTGCTGCTGTGGTTGTGGGGCTGCTGCAGAAGTTGGCATCCTGCTGCTACGGGGATGGCACTGCATGCAATCAGCAGCAAGAGCAGCAGCAGCTGCTGCTCTTAGCTGCTATGAGCTGCGACGGTGTAGCTTTCCCTTTGCAAGAGCAGCTGCAGGAGCTGCAGCAGCAGCAACAGCAGCAGCAGCAGCAACAAGAGCAGCAGCTGCAGCAGCAAATCCCTTCAGTTTCCTCGGTAAGCACTTCTGCCTCCAGCCCTTTATATCCAATCAGCAGCAGCAGCAGCAGCAGCAGCAGCAGCAGCAGCAGCAGCAGGACTTGCTCTGTTGCTTGTTGTATAATAAAAAGTGTTGCATGCATGCATGTGTTTGCTGCTGCTGCTGCTGCTGCTGCAGCAAATAGAGAGGATTGCTCTTCGGGTGTATAGGCACCTCTATTATTTAGCAGCAAAACTTCTTGCTGCTGATGGACAAGGAGGAGACACCGCAAACAATGAACAGTAATACTTGCTGCTGCTGCTGCTGCTGCTGTTGCTGCTGCTGTTGCTGGTGTTGCTGCTGGTGCTGTTGCTGCTGCTGTTGCTGCTGATGCTGTGTACTGCTGCTGCTGCTCTTGCTGCTGCAGCTACTGCTTCTACATTTGTCTCATTTGCTGCATTTGGTGCATTTGTTGCTGCTGCTGCATTTGTTGTTGCTGCTGCTGCTGCTGCTGTTGGGGTGTATATGCAGCTCATTATCTGTATATAAAGAAATAAATTTATATAAATTTATTTTATATATAAAAAGAGACCTATCTTGTCTTCGTTATTTATTTCTTTTTTCTTCTTTTTCTTCTTTTTCTTCTTCTTTTCTTCTTATCTTATCCAATACATCAATAAAGGATTATATTCAGCCTCTTCCTGCTGCTAACAATAGCAGCAGCAACAGCAGCAACAGCAACAGCAACAGCAACAGCAGCAGCAGCAGCAGCAGCAGCAGCAGCATTATGAATCCATCAAACCCTGTGCATGCACTCTTAGCAACATCTTTTGCTATTTTGGGGCTTTGGGGCATTCAGAGCGATAAACAACATACACCAGGTAAATAGTATATGCATGCATGCATGCATGCATGCATATATATACTATTCATGCATGCATGCATGCATGCATGCATGCGGTGTATGTTGCATGCATGCATGCATGCTTGATGTGTATATTGAATGCGTGCATCCATACATGCATGCATGCATGCATGCATGCATGCATGCCTAAGGGCTTTGGGTACCTCCTTGCATGCATGCATGCATGCATGCATGCACGAGCAATACGCACGCACGAATGCATGCATACATGCATGCATGCATGCATGCATGCTGCTGCTGTGTGAGCCTTAGGTCATCTATTGGCAGTGACGATAGCGATTAGTGTTATTGAAGCTTTCTGCTGCAGCTTGAGTGTACCTACTGCAGCAGCAGCAGCAGCAGCAGCAGCAGCACCAGCAGGAACAGCAGCAGCAGCAGCAGCAGCAGCAGCAAATAATACTACTTTCTTACGAGGAGTATGGGGCTGTATTAACGTTTTATTTGCATGCAATATAAACAGGAAGACATTAAGACAATTAAATTTCTCTTCTCCCTTAGAGTTATATAATAGTAAGTCTTGCTGCTGCTGCTGCTGCTGCTGCTGCTGCTGCTGTTGCTGTTGCTGTTGCTGCTGCTGTTGTTGCATTATGTTTGTCTTGCTATGTAGTTGTTATTGTCTCCTTTTTTTATTTGTCTCTTTCTTCTTTTGTGTCTCTTTTTGTGCAGCAACACCAACAACAGCAACAGCAACAACACCAGCAGCAGCAACAGCAGCAGCAACAGCAGCAGCAACAGCAGCAGCAGCAGCAGCAGCAGAATATATATATGACCCTGATATATGTCCGTTACCTGAGGGCATGCGTCCCCTTGATTCATGGGGAAGTGTAGGTTTGCTGTTTAGCAGCAGCAGGAGTGCTGCTGCTGCTGCTGCTCTTGCTGTTGCTCCCCTTCGTGATGCAGCAGCAGCAGCAGCAGCAGGAGAAAGAGGGGAATGCATTGATATATTTAAGGATCTGCTGCCACCTAATATTGTTGCTGCTGCTCCTGCTGCTGCTGCTGCATGCACACAAAGGATTCAATCCCTGCAGCAGCAGTATTGGGGCTTGCTGCTGCCCCAGGTAACAGTTCCTGCTGCTGCTGCAGCAGCAGCAGCAGCAGGAGGAGAAGGAGAAGCAGCTGTATTCTGTGAGGAGACAGCTCGTGCTGCAGCAGAAAAAGTTGCTGCTGGTCCTATTGGGGTGTCTTTGCTGCTGCTGCAGGAGATAGTAGACAGCAGCAGCAGCAGCGCAGCAGGACTGCTGCATGCAGCAGCAGCATTTGCTATACCCACCCTTACAGCTCCTATCTTGGGGCCCCCTAGCAGAGAAGGGGGCCCCCCTTCCTCCTCTTGCTCAGCAGCAAAAACACCAGCAGGAGCAACAGAAGCAGCAGCAACAGCAGCAAGAGCAGCAAGAGCAGCAACAGCAGCAGCAGCAGCAGCAGCATTTCGTTATTTTGCAGATAATTATTTATTATATATAAAAGAAAGAAGAGAGACACAAATAACAATTAATTTATTAGGGGGTTTATGTTCATTATTTATGCATCCTTTGTTGCTGCAGACAGAAGGAATAATATATAATATACTGCAACAGCAGCAGCAGCAGCAACAGCAGCAACAGCAGCAGCAACAGCAGCAACAGCAGCAGCAGGGAGAGGAAGAGGAAGAAGAATATAATTTAGATATTTGTTTCTCTTATTATTTTGCTAAAGAAATCCTTAAAGAAGGACATAAAAGTTTAGCCCTATCTAGGGCTATCGTCTGTAAACCCTAAACCCTAAACCCTAAACCCTAATAAACCCTAATAAACCCTAATAAACCCTAATAAACCCTAATAAACCCTAATAAACCCTAATAAACCATAATAAACCATAATAAACCCTAATATACCCTTGTAAACCCTAGATAATAATCACTAAACTCTTAACATGACTAAACACTAATAAACCCTAATAAACTGTAAACCCTCGTATGCGTGTTACTTAGGGTTTAGGGTTTAGGGTTTACTGCTAGGATACCAATATTGCTGCACAAGTATCATCAGTTGCTGCTGCTTCTGTTGCTGCTGTTTCTTTTCCTCATCTACTGCTATGTGTGCGTCTGCTGCGTTTGCTGCGTTTGCTGCTGCTGCTGCTGCTGCTGCTGCTGCTGCTGCTGTTGCAGTACCTTTATTATCTTCTTTATTTACAATAGGAGGATGTATAAATAACAATATATTTAGGGTTTATAAATTACCCCGTCCTTATGTCTTGCTGCTGACGGATTTGCTGCTGCACCGTGAGTTCGTGCTGCTGGATGGAGACAGCAGCAGCAGCAGCAGCAGCAGCAAACCTGCTGATCCTTTTATTGATCCTAGACCACCACCACCATGCTGTGCATACACCCCAACACTCACACATCCACACACCAGCAACAGCAGCAGCAACAGCAGCAGCAGCAGCAACAGCAGCAACAGCAGCAGCAGCAGCAGCAGCAGCAGCAATGGGCATTATATAGATATATCTGCAACAGAGGAACTTTCTTCCTTTTTATTCTCTGACCCTACAACAGCAACAGCAGCAACTACCGCCATCAGCAGCAGCAGCAGCAGCAGCAGCAGCAGCAGCAGCAGGAGCAGCAGGAAGTATGGAGAATTAGAGGTATTAGCTAATAAGGAAGTATTTATAAATTATATAAATAATATAAATAATAATAATAATAATAATAATAATAATAATATTAATCGTTTCTTGCTGCTGCAGCAAACTCCTTCTTTTTTACGTCTATTTACTCTTGCTATCTTAGATGCTGTTTGTTATCGTCTATCCAACTGCAGCAGCAGCAGCAGCAGCAGCAGCAGCAGCAGCAGCAAGAGCAGCAGCAACAGCAGTAGTAGTACTAGTTGCTGCAGCAGCAGCAGCAGCAGCAGCAGCAGGGAAGAAAAGACACAACAAATAAATAATTATCTAAGGGAGATTGTCTCTTCTATCTATGATGAATTAATTAAGAGAGCTATACAAGAGCAGCAGCAGCAGCAGCAGCAGCAGCAGCAGGACGAGCAGCAGCAGCAGCAGCAGCAGCAGGAAGAGGATGAGGAAGAAGAAGAGGATGAAGATGAAGAAGAAGAGCTCCAGCAGCACAAACAGCAGCAGCAGCAGCAGCAGCAGCATAGGCCAGCAATGCCTAACTCTGCTGCTCATAGACTACAGCTGCGTCTATGGCAATCTATTTGCTGCATATCCTCTTATGCTGCTGATTTGCAGCAGCAGCAGCAGCAAGAGCAGCAGCAGCAGCAGCAGCAGCAGCAGCAGCAGCAGGACAAGCAGCAGCAGCAGCTGCAGCAGATATGGTCTGTGCTGCGGTCCCCTATTCTTCCTGATGTAAGACATTATGTAGAGATTGCTGCTATAAAATTAGCAGCAGCAAATCCTGCTGCTGCTGCTGCTGCTGCTGCTGCTGCTGCTGCGATGCTGCAGCAACCTAATGCACCTAGACAAATACTTATTAGTGGTCTAACTGTTGCTGGTTATTTGCTGCTGCATATCCGTGAATTGCTGCTGCAGCAGCACACCAAAGCAGCAGCAGCAGCAACAACAAAAGCAACACCAGCAGCAACAGCAGCAGCAACAACAGCAGCAGCAGCAGCAGCAGCAGAAGAGGAAGCAGATAAATTAGAGGAATTATTATTAAATAATATAATTCCTTATCTAACA